TGCAGCCCCTTCTCGATACCTCATCGGCGTTTTTAGAACGTGCCCTGCTGAGCTCCCATCTTGTTCGCGGCTCCCTGCTTACCATGACTCCTCTCCCTCATCCTCATGGCTTTGATTCTGTGACCTCCCGGTTTCTGGCCTGGATCTCTTGTATTCAAGATCCATGTTCCAGTCTCTGCCTGAAGTCTCCGCCTGGGTATTCATTTGGCATCCCAAACTAAATTCAGTATGTTTCGTTATATTATCCCTGAATCAGTACAAGATGTAGCCAGGTATGGATGCCTGCTTGATGTTTTCTCTGTATTCCCCGTCATAGTTCATGGTCTCTGCGTGTCTTTAGTCGGTTCCCAGCGTTGTAGAAGGGCCTGAATGCGCCATTAAGGGGGGATTGGGAGCTTTCAGCAGATTTTAGTCGGGACCATTCTCTGGGCATCATCCAAAACAAACATGACCCTTCTGGGTAGTATCTCAGAACAGTTGTGACAGCATCTATGTTAGTTGGTACTATATTGGGTTGGCCAAAAAGTCCGTATGTTTTTTTCCGTAAAAGACATATTTTTCATTTTCACCAGTAACTTTGCTGATTTGGGTATTTTTGAGTGCGCCAGCTGTCCACCTAGCCACGTAAGGGTTGTTCTCGATGTCACGACTCGACCACTGCCAACTTCATCCTGTCAGCCTGACCGGGAGGCATCGTCCAGTGAGAACCTCCAGCACGAAACTCGCCAAACCACTTTTGACACGTTTTTGACACGTTCAATCCATCATACCACCTTCTCCATACACTTTTTTTGAGTTTCAGTTGTATTTTTACCTTTTTTGAAGTAATAAAACATAATATGCCGAAAATTTTGCACATTTTCTTCCATCTTCAATATTAAAATGACTACACAAAAATTCACCAATTTTGATAAGTTTTTAAAATGCAGGCTGACATGACAGCTGTCACAATAAAATCTAACAAAATTTTTTCGAATGAAGTTAAAGACAACTAAGTGCTACTAGAGCCACCGTATGGAAAAGACCAAATGAACTTTTTGGCCTGCCCGATAATTAAATAAAATAACATACCGCTAAGCTCAGTTCGCCCTTACATGTAGCAGGCTTCAGAGACGGGCCCCCTGCTCTGCCCAGTTGCCTTTGCATTATGGAATGGAGGAACGCCCTTCCTCTGTGTCTTAGAGGGCACCACTTGAAGGCTCTCTTGCTAGTCTTTTGCCAGAATGATGTCGATTCTGTTATACGGTATAGTCTGTATTTTAAATTTTTTTTAAATCCTGATAATTTTTTAAATATATAGAGTATGTGGAGTATTTCATCAGAAGATCCAATGATCTGGTCTGTCTTTTAAGCTCAGTTGGCTGTTATTTTAATATGGCAAGTTATTTACTGCTGAAATAATCAAGAAGTCCTGTTTGGGACAGCAAGTGAATATTAGCTCTGGCTTAGGCTTCATTAAAATGATTCTCTAAGCTTTTAATGGCCAGAGAAGTACTTCTCACTGTTGCTCATTCTTAGGATCCAAATATTAACTTTTTTGTACCCCCTTCCTCTGCATTAGGGTACAAAGAAAGAAATAGAACAGTAATAAACAACTGTCTTAATAAATCTTAAAATTTATAAATGGTCAGAATATAGCCTCTATAAATGTATATTGTATATTTCATGCAATGTTGATATTTTAAATTTGATTTTTCATTTTTTAAATTTTTATTTATTTGTTAAAAGATTTTATTTATTTTATGTTTTGAGAGAGGGGGAGGGAGGGAGAAAGAGGGAAACAGCCATGTGTGGTTGCCTCTTGTGCGCTCCCTACTGGGGACCTGGCCCGCACCCCAGGCATGTGCCCTGACTGGGGATTGAACCTGCTACCCTTTGGTTCCCAGGTCGGTGCTCAATCCACTGAGTCACACCAGCCAGAGGCATTTTTTATATTTTTTAGAATTTGTACTTAAGTTGAAATATTCAATTTTTCTTGTTTTTTTATTGATTTATTTAATCTCAAAGATTACTGTCTCCTTTCTAATGGTTTTTCAATTAGTGAGAATTCACAAGGAAAATTTTTATTATGTGGTAAATAAAATGATAAAGAATTATAACTATTTATTTAGATACTGTTTTTTAAAAATGAATTTCTGTGTGTCTTTGTGTCTCCTACTTTCTCTATCTTATGGAAAAATTCTACATTTTAGGGTATGTTGCTGGGTAAGGCTACTCCTCTGGGAAATGAGACTTCCATTTCTTAGGCTAGCATCTTAGTAGTGGTCTAGTAAAGGTACGTGTCTCAATAATCCCATATTTGAAATAGTCACATCAATTGGGAAGAAATAGAAATAGGATTCATATAAGGTTGAAAATCCTTATTTCAAAATATCCTTTTAGAAATCCCAGGTATTCAGACGAGATTGGGCACGTTCAGGGTGGTATGGCTGTAGACAGAAATCCCAGGTATTCAGTATGTGCCTGTGATTGAACAAAACAGAAACAATTTAAGAAGGTTGATACAGACTTCTGACCAAGATGGAGGTATAGGTAGTTACGCTTTGCTTCCTCACACAACCAAAAGAAGAACAACAAATTGAAAAACAAAAAACAACCGAAACTGCCAGAAAATGGAACTGTATGGAAGTTTGACAACCAAGGAATTAAAGAAGAAACATTCATCTAGACAGGTGGGGTGCGCAGAGGACGCGCAGCGAGGCAGTGGCTGGCGGACCAGGCGGTCTCATATTTGCGTGCAGATAAACTGGGAGGAACAGCTGGGGAGTGAGACAGGCGGTGCAACCCAGGGCTCCAGCGCAGGAAAAGAAAACCTCAAAACCTCTGGTTGTAAAAGTCTGTGGGGGTTGTGGTGGCAGGAGAAACTCCCAGCCTCGCAGGAGACTGTGTTGGAAAGACCCACAGGGTCCTGGAACATACGCAAACCCACCCACCTGGGAATCAGCACCAGAAGGGCCCAGTTTGCTTGTAGGAAGCCAGGAAAGTGACTGAAAGAAGGCAGAGAACTGTGCAGGCGGCATTGTTCCCTCTGACCCCTCCCCCACAGGCAGCGCCACAACGCAGCCAAGTGGATTGCCCTGCCCCTTACGATGCAACAGGTGGGCTGAGACAAAGAGACACGGCCCAAATCAAAGAATAGATCACAACTCCAGAAAAAGGGCTAAGCAATGAGGAGATAGCCAACTTATCAGATGCAGAGTTCAGAACACTGGTAATCAGTATGCTCACAGAAATGAGTACGGGTGCAAGATAGATGAAGAAGTGAAGGCTATGAAAAGTGAAATAAAGAAAAATACACAGGGAACCAACAGTGAAGGAAAGGAAACCAGGACTCAAATCAACAATTTGGAGCAGAAGGAAGAAACAAACATTCAACTGGAACAGAATGAAGAAAAAAGAATTTTAAAAAAATGAGGAAAGGCTTAGGAACCTCTGGGACAGCTTTAAATGTTCAAAGATCTGAATCATAGGGGTGCCAGAAGGAGAAGAGGAAGAGCAAGAAATTGAAACCTTATTTGAAAAAAATAATGAAGGAAAACTTCCCCAGTCTGGTGAAGGAAATGGACTTCCAGGAAGCTCAGAGAGTCCCAAAGAACTTGGACCCAAGGAGGAACACATCAAGACACATCATAATTAAATTACCCAAGGTTAAAGAAAAGAAGAGGATCTTAAAAGCAATGAGAAAAGCAATGAAAAGAGAGAGTTACCTACAAAGGAATTCCCATAAGACTGTCAGCTGATTTCTCAAAAGAAACCATACAGGCAAGAAGGAGCTTAAAAGAACAATTCAAAGTCACAGAAGGCAAGGACCTACATCCAAGATCACTCTATCCAGCAAAGCTATCATTTAGAATGGAAGAGTGGGTAAAGTGCTTCCCAGATAAGGTTAAGTTAAAGGAGCTCATCATCACCAAACCCTTACTAAATGAAATCTTAAGGGGACTTATGAAGAAAATCAAAACTGTAAACAGTAAAATGATAACAAACTCAAAACTATGAACAGCTGAACCTAAAAAAAACAAAAACAGCAGACAACTGGACCAGGAACAGAATCACAGAAATGGAGATCCCATGGAGGGTTATCAGCAGGGAGCGGGAGAGGAGAGAATGGGGAAAAGGGTGTAGGGAATGAGAAGCATAATTGGTAGGTACAAAATAGGCAGGGGGAGGTTAAGAACAGTATAGAAAATGGAGAAGCCGAAGAACTTACATGTACGACCCATGGCATGAACTGAGGGCGAGGGTCCCGGTGGGGGGATGCAGGGCGGAAGGCAGTAGAGGGGAGGGATAAAACAGGACAACTGTAATAGCATAATCAGTATAATACACTTCAAGAAAAAGATGTAAGAATCTTAATGGCGGGGTCATGTCTGTGTAACCTGTGGGGTCTCACAGCATCTCGGCAGGATTTGAACTTCCACAGGAGCTCCTGGTGCTGGATCCCTGCGGTGCGATTTGCCGAACGCTGCGGGTGTTTCCCACGGAGTCGACAGACGGCATTCCAGCTTTACAGTGGCAGCTCACGTTTCCTGCTTGATTTTAATACGTGTGTTTCTTCAAATGAGTCTTACAATTATTTGAATACTCAGGTCTCAGTGAGGTTTGGATTGAAATTACATTAAATATTAAATGAAGCTATTACCACTTCCAGTTTAGGAAAGTGGTGTGTTTGTTTCCATTTAAATCATTTTTGCGTTCTTCAGTAAAGTTTTGTAATTTTTTCTATTGTATGTTCTGTAAATTTCTTAATGTTTCTTCCCCTTTTCCCCGTTTTTGATATGTTTAATATGGTCTTTTGCTGTTTATTTTCTAAGTGGTGATACAGTTACATAGGAAAGCTGTTGATGTTTCTTCACTAGTCAAATTTCTTAAACTTAGTTCCAAAAGTTTGTTAGTCTTTTTGTTAATAGATTGCAAATATCTTTGTAGAACTGGTGAAATGACCTCTCTTTTTACCTATAATGTAAAAAAATTTTTGTTTGCTTTTTTTTTTTTTAAAGCTCTTTTCACTTATGGATATGAAACCTCCCATCTCTCGAGCCAAGATGATTCTCATCACAAAAGCTGCTATTAAAGCCATTAAGGTAAGAGTAAAGTCAATATATTTAACTTGAAAAAGTGTTTTTGAAATTTTGAAACTGTTTCTAAACATGAGCATTTATGTTGTGAATTTGTTCAGGCCTCTCCCAGAGAACACTAACCAGCCTTTGCTGAAGGTGCATGATAACCCAGTGAGGTGCATTTGCGTTGTGCTCCGACTTCAGAGTGGTCCTCTGCCCCCATTTTTGTTTTGTTTTTGTTTCCCTTGTATGTTTTCCCAGCTTTATGGATGTATAATGAATAATTAAAAATTGTATATATTTAATAATACACAGTAAAACATGATTTGCTGCATACCCATTGTTTAATGATTACCACAGCTAAGCTGATTAGCGCAATTGTCACCTCACGTAAGTTACCTTTTTATGTGTGTCGTGCCAAAAAAAATTAAACTCCTAGAAGTAGAGACTAGAGTGGCAGGTTTTTTTATTTCATTTAATTCTGGTCATGAATCAGCTAAGTGTAAGTTTAAGTTTTATTTAAAAAAAAAAATTGGGGCTCCATGAAATTAAATTTCTTACCCAAGATGAAACCTAAATAAGTGATTTCATTTCAGAAACTTCATGATTTAGTTTTGATTTCATTGATCTTATCCCTCATAAATGCTGCTTTATGAAGGTTTATTCATTAAAAATCTAAGAAAAAGGCCTTCTGTTTTGGGGGGGGATTTTTGTAGTATTGTGTTTTAGCTAATTTCTGATTTTTAAAAACTGTTGATTAGGGTACTTCTGATGGTTTATTCAGTATTATCTTGAGAATCATTTAAGTTGTGCAGATTTAAGATTTTTTAAGTATTTTCTAATTACATTGCAGGAAATGTAGAAATATGTAAACTAAACAATAATTTTCTTTTAATTCTTTTCAGCTTTATAAGCATGTAGTTCAAATAGTAGAAAAGTTCATCAAAAAGGTAACTACCCATTTTTTGATTACCTCATTTTAATTTTGTGCCGTATTTGTAATTTGGATGCTTGCTTGTAAAGCCACTAAGCAAACAAGTTGTCTCTAGAGGTTCTTTTTCATCTCTAGAGGCTTTTCTTAAAGAAAACAAAAGCAGCCTCACCACAGTTCTGTTGACCGAGCACCCGCAAGGGTCGTGGTCGGCCCGCAAGGACAGTCTCCTGCGCGCTGGCTGTGGGACTCTGCCCCGAGCCCCGGGTGCCCCTGCCCTTTGCCCTGTGACTGTTGACATTTAATTCACCTTGAAACATTTCAAATGAAAGCACTTTATAATAGAGCTTTTCCAGCTTTTTCCTGCTCCCAGCATAATTACATTCAATTTTTAGTCTACAGAGGTGGTATGCTTCATAACCGTGTGATCAGCACATGTGTCTCAGCCGAGGACAGAGAGCAGGGACTTGGGCATCTTTGTCTTCCCCTAACCTGGGGCTGTGGGGATGTCTCTGATCCTTGGCCTTTGAATACTGGCCGAGAGATTAGCAAATCAAAGTACCACTAAGTAAAATGGAAAAGTTAAAATTACCAGCATGACACCACCCGCCTGACTACAGATTATTTACATGGGGATCTCCTCGTATTTTATCACGTACCTGTGCCCCAGTAAAAGCAGAAAGGGAGACCCACTGGTCGGCAGCCTGCTTCCCCACCGAGATCACTGCAAACACCCGCAGAGCGCTCTGTTACTTGACTCTCCCGCCGCTTGCTCGGCCAGGCCCGCTGCCGGTCACCCTGCCTCCGCTGCTGGCCTGGGGGAGGGATCAGGTGCATCGGGGTTGTTTTTCTCAGGATAAACTTCTGGGTATGGGACTGCTGGGTTAGATGAGGCCTCGGGTTTATTGCGAGCTCGGCCTTGTAAAGGGTACACCACTAGAATGTATGTCGGTGTCTGCTCCTCTGTTCTTTTCATCTTACTGGTTTCATAGGCCGAAAATGACCTCTTTTAGTTTTTGTTTCTCTGGTACTGTATATTAAAATTACCTTTTCCATACTTTTAAAGGGTAAAAGTTACTACTTTTGTAGCAGGTTGCTTTGGATTTGTGTGGAAGTGTTGTAGGGGTGGGTATAGCGATGCTGATCCTGGGAAGTTGTGGGAGGTGGAGGGACCAGAGAGAAGTAAAATGCCGGGGGTCTGAAGCACAAAGAGGGTGGGCAGCCCTGTACAGACCTGTAGGGGACACGGCGGGCCATGCGGCTGAGCACGCAGGCGGTTTCTCAACGGAGACGGCCACATTCCGGCCACAGGCCGTGGTCTTGCTCTTCTTCTGTTGACTTTACATCTCTGTCTTTGTAGTGTAAACCAGAATACAAGGTTCCGGGATTGTATGTGATCGACTCAATTGTACGGCAGTCTCGTCACCAGTTTGGAACTGATAAAGATGTTTTTGGGCCAAGATTCTCTAAAAACATAACCTCCACATTCCAATATTTATATCTTTGTCCATCTGAAGATAAGGTATAGTTAGTAATTTTTTAATTAAAACTTGTATTGTTTTTATTTTTATTTCTTTGAATCTATTTAAATGTATTTTAAATAGTTGATGCACCTGGTATTAGAAAGATAATCATATAGTTATCTCTGAACTTGAAACAAAACCCAGTTTTCAGTTTTTTCTGTAGTAGTCATATTTATCTTTTTTTTTTTTTAAGATTTTATTTATTTATTTACTTACTTACTTTTAGAGAGGACGTGAGAAGGAGGGGAAAAAAGGGAGAGAAACATCAATCAGTTGCTTCTCACACATGCCCTCAACTGGGGAGTTGGCCCCCAACCCAGGCATGTGCCCTGACTGGGAATCAAACCAGTGACCTTTCGATTTATGGGGAGGTGTCAACCCACTGAGTCACACCAGGCAGAATGTCTACTTTCTGTAAAGTCCTTTAGGAATGTCGTACTATTGAACGGTGAAAGGAACACCATCTTGTTTTAAGGAAGACATTGGAGAGGTTTACTTGCGTTGAGTGATAAAGAAATTCTGTAGTTGAGAAGAGCAGGGTTCGTCTCAGATGGCTGCTTATTCTAGAAGGAAGGGACCACAGTCGATGGCTTTACCAAGCATGTAGAGGTACACGAGCATAAGTGCCCTTTGGTAACAGTCAGATTGCAGATCTGGCTGCTCCTGTCCGTAGCCGGCTTTACCTTGTGTGGGCCCCGGGGGTGGGAGGAGCAGGCTGTGTTGTGGGCTGTCCCTACTGGAGGAGTGCTCCTGGGGAGAGCACACGGGAAGAAGGGGCATTGTCCCTGGGGTCAGAGGTGAGAGGTGTACCCTGCGTACACGTCTCTGGGTCTCCCTGTTGACTAGCGCACAAAAGAACTTACCTATCAATTACTGGCCCATCTCTTAAATACTGTGATTGTTGCCCTGGCCAGGTAGCTCAGTTGGTTAGAACACAATCCCAGTACGCCATGGTTGCAGGCTCAATCCCCTGTTAGGGAGCATACAAGAATCAACCAATGAATGCACGAATAAGTGGAACAACAACAAATTGATGTTTCGCCTTCTCTCCCTCCCTCTCTCTGTAAAATAATAAATTTTAAAAAATATTATAATTCTTATAATCAACCTAAAGAAATTCTTCACTTCTATAACCTTTTTTTTCCATGATAGGGTTTCTTTTTAACTCTAAATAAAATATGAAAACTCCCAATACACTTCTTCATCATTAAATAATCCATTTCCTTGGATTCTTTAGGTTATATTACTTGCTGTTCCTTTTTCCCCTTCTCTGTTGCGGCGATCACACTACGGGGGAAAGGCTGATCGGAGCAGGCTCAGCAGGCTGTGATTCCGATGATAGGCTCCTTTTTTTCTCGTTTATGAAACAGGTGTAATATGGAAAAATAGGCCTAGGGCTTTTTCTTCACTTCTTTTGTAAAGTATAATAAAATATTTATGCAAATATTTGTTGTGTACATTCATGTTTTCTCACACTTAACAGAGTAAAATAGTTCGTGTGCTGAACCTTTGGCAAAAAAATGGAGTATTTAAAATTGAAATTATCCAGCCTCTTTTGGACATGGCAGCAGGGAGCAGCAATGCCGCCCCAGGGCCCGACAGTGTCACTAACAATGAAGGTGAGGCCCGGCTGCCCGCGCGCTGGGGAGGGTGTGTCTTCACATTGGGGGAACTTTCTCATAAGAAGGAAACTTGGGTTTACGTCGGGGAAGGTACAGGGGTTTTAACCCCTTAATTATTTGCAGTGAAAATACTGCTCTTCCAGTACTTGATACAGTACAGACTCTAGTACCATAGTCTATGTTTCTTCTATATGTTAAACTGGACTGAGTGTTATTTTAGTAAAGAAGCTTAACGCAATGTAAAAAGGAAAATTTGTACATTAAAGTCTTCTTAGGCCTTAATGACCTCTCATTTTTTAGGGTCACCTCCACCTCCAGTTAAAGTCTCTTCTGAACCTCCTCTGGCCACTACAAACTCGGTACCAGCTGTCCCGCAGCTGCCCAGCTCCGACGCCTTTGCTGCTGTGGCCCAGCTGTTCCAGAGCACTCAGGGTCAACAGGTAAACCGCTCGCCCAGGGTCAAGTGCCTGCAGGTGGTGCTATTGTCAGCTCTTACTTTCTGTCCCTAATGATGAGCGTGTTTAAGGGAGGGAATAGTTCCACTGTTCAACTAGAAACGCCTCAACAGGGAAGCGGCGGCACGGGAACAAGGGGCCTGTGGGAGGTGAGGGCAAGGGGCGCAAGCGCCAGAGCCGCCCTGCCTGGCGCTGCTGCCTGCAGTTCTGACCTGCCTGCAGACTGCAAGTCACGTGGACTGGAGGTGGCTTTCACATTTCTAAAAAAATATGTATTTTACCTTGCTCACGATTGAGTGTGTGTTCTTTTTGACCATTTTTTTTTTACCATTGGGGTTGTCAGCATACGTTTTTAAGCAGCACATATTGTATCCCTGGTGATATTTATTCACAGCAGACTTAACCACTACTGAAATGTTGGTTCTTTTTTCTAGTTTACTTTGTGCCTATAGTATTCTGAGTCACTGTGAAGGGTTGTTTTGTTTTGTTTCTTTTTTTAGTAAAATATCTTTTGACATAATGATTTTACTTTGTGATGTGGTTCCCATTCTTTAAGCTTCAGCAGATCCTTCAGACTTTCCAGCAGCCTCCAAAACCACAGTCTCCCGCCCTTGACAATGCTGTGATGGCTCAAGTTCAGGCTCTCACGGCCCAGTTGAAGACAGCTCCCACGCCACCCGAGCAGAAGGCTACTGCGTTTGACAAGGTAATGCTGCCCCGCACTCACCTGCCCGGAGCCCGTGCCCCTCACTGGGGACAGGGGAGTCAGCCCGCTCCGGAGTCCCCAGGGCGCTCGTCCTGTTGTTCGTGGTTTCAGGGGTTCCCCCACAACATCAAAGCATTGATTAGTTTTTTCTAGTTATAAATTTAATGTATACTTTTTGCAAAATTTTCAGTAAAAGAAGAAATAAAGGAAAAAGAAACAGTATAAAGGAAAGTAAATGGGACCATCTATCATTAAACCCCATACTTGGAGATAACTACTGCAGTGTTTTGCCGTGCATTTTTTCAGAATTTATTTCCTGTGGGTATATGCCTTTCTTGTCTCATTTTTGTTGTTGTTGTTGTTGTTAAGGTTAATAGATTTAGATCTTCATTTATACTGAGTGCTTATTGGGCTTATTCCAGTACATGGACACATCACTGTTTAGCCATTCCCCTTTCGACAGGCGTGTAAGTTGCTTCCCGTGTTTTGCTATTAAAAAGCCTTAGTCACCACGTCCGTGTGTGGATTGGGGTTCTGGGTCCGCGTTGCTCTGCTGGCTCCCGGGTGTGTGGGGGCAGCGGCCGAGGACCCAGCCGTGCTGAGGAAGCTCGGCTCGTGGTGGCGGTGCCCACCCGGACGGCTCCACTCTTGTCTGCTTGTGTCTTTCTGGTCACTGGGTTTATGGCTGTATAAAACTTCACTGCAGTTTACAGGTGTCACTGCAAATAAAAGTTTGACAGTCCTAGAACTACATGATATCTTGAGATTTCTGGTTTCTTTGCAACATTCTAATTAGAAAATAGACTAACTTTAGATACATATTTCATATGAGATAAGTAGTGCTGGTGGCCCGCGTGCAGTGAACACAGGCCGTCAGTGTACCTGGGCGATCTGCGAATGAGCGCTGGCCGGGAGAGGCCAGGTGGAATCTCGCAGCGCACGAGGCACGTGTGCGCGAGATGGAAACGCAGATAGCCCGGAAAGCTCTGAAGTGCAGAGGGAAGTGTCTCTGCTTTGAACAGATTTGTGTTGTGTTTTCAGACCTATTTCCATGCACATGTGAACATAAATTCTTATATACTGTGGTTTTGTTGATTAGTTTTTTATTTTGTGTTCTGATTAGGAAACCTTCCCGCCTCTGTGTTTTTAATTTTGTATTTTCTTTTAGAAGTTTTATATTTCTGTTTTTTTGTTTGTCTCTTTAATTCTCCCGGGACCTACTTTAGAATATGGTTCAAGATAGTTAAATCTTTATTTCTTATTTTTTTAAAGATTTTTTTATTTCTTTTAGAGAGAGGGGAAGGGAGGGAGAAAGAAAGGGAGGGAAACATCCATGTGTGGTTGCCTCTCCCGCACCCCCCACTAGGGACCTGGCCTGCAGCCCAGGTCTGTTCGAACTGGCGACCCTCTGGTTCGCAGGCCAGCACTCAGCCCGCCCACTGAGCCACACCATCCGGGACAAATCTTCATATTTTCAGAAATGAGCATTTCTCCCTCACTGTTTTTGTCATACACTAAACTCTCATATTTTTCTATGCCTGTCTCTAGACACTGTTCTGTCCCACTAATATATTTATTTCTGCATTATAGCTTAAATACCTGCAACTTATATACCACATTTTATTTCCAGGTGTCATGTCCTTCCCCCCCATCCCCCAAATTTTCTTTGGCTGTTCTTGGGCATGTGTGTTAGTCAGGGTTCCCCAGAAAAACAGAGCCAATTTTATACACATGGAGAATGGGGTGGCAGAAAGGAGGAGAGAGGTGGCATTTGGTTGATCTTGTGGCATTGGCTCGCGCAGCTGTGGAGGCTGGCAGCTCTGAAATGGGCAGGGCAGGCTGGAGGCTGGGACTCGGGTGAGAGGAGAGGTTCCAGGCCAAGTTAGTTCTGAAAGGCATGGCTTCTGTGTTGCTGCCTTGAGAGTTCCTTCTTCGGGAGACCTGGGTTCTTGAACTTGAAACCTTCATCCGATTAGGTGGGATCCACACAAACTGTGGAAGGCACTTTTTTATTCAAAGTCTTCTAAATGTGAACGTTAATCACATTTTTAAAATATCTTCACAGTAACAGCTAGATTAATATTTGACCAAACAGCTGGGCACCATAACCTAGCCAACTGACACATACAATTAACCATCACAGCCAACTTTTCCAGATGAACTGGGGCATGTATTTTGCATGCATTTTGGAATTCAAGCATTTATAGGTTGATTTAGTAAGTGATGATCATTTTTTATACAGTGTCCATATATTACGTCTTTTCATGTCGTGTACATTTGTTTCATTTATTCTTAGCTATTTAGTCATTTTTCATGTTCAATATTTCATAACACTTCATTTGGTTAATGATGACATAAAGCAAAACTGTTGATTTTACTTTGTAAATGGTCATAGTATTAAATGCTTAATTTTCTAGTTGGTTCTCAGATTTTCTAGGTAGCTTCTCTTTTTTACTTCTCCTCTCCCACATCTGTACCGGTTTTCTTTGTTTCCCTCCCTCCCTCCCTCCCTTTCCATTTCTGTTGGTGGCTGGGACGTCCAGGACTGTGTTGAGTGGTAGCAGCACTGGTGGTATCCCTGTCTTGTTCATTTGGATTGTAATTCCTCTAGTATTTTACCTTAAGTGAGTTGGTCAATGTTTGTTTTTATATTAAGTTTAGAGAAAGAATTTTGTGCTTTTCCTGTTGCTAAAAAGGCCTATTTTAAGCTAGTCAAACAGGTTGACTGGGAACATTTTGTTTATTTCAGCTGATTCATAGATTTTCAGTTTCCTAAAAAGCAACAAAAAATGTTTTTAAGATAGAACTCAGTTTAATATTTTAATTGCTTCAGATCTTTTTCCAAAGCAATAGGTATAAATCTTAAAGCCTTAAAGAACATATTTATATGTGATGAAGGGCAGAATTCATAGGTTTTGTTTTTTGTAGACCCAAGTTTTAAGTTTGGCTTTATCCTGATATTGAGTTATTTAGCTATTCAGTGCATGCTACTGTGAAGGCATGATGGTAGCCCCTATTATTTTATTGCCGTGAGGGTTAATTAAGCCAGTGTGCGTCAAAAAGCAAGGTTCCTGGATCAGTTGGTTACAATAAGAACTTTTAATCACAGGGCCTGGAATTGCGAAGGGAAAAAAAGACGTGTTGTCCCTTCCTCATTTAGAAATTTGGTGTTCGGTAAAGCAGCAGAGCTGTCACAGGATTTAGAGATTTGAGGTTGGAGATCTGTGAGCAGAATGGACACAGCTTAAGAGAGAATATGTGCTGGGTGCCAGAGATGGGGGCTTTGAGGTTGAAAAGACTGGTGTCCACATCCTGATCCTACCATCACCTGCTGTACCGTCTGTGTGGTGCTTCTAAATGCCCAGCGGTTTAGTTTTCTTGTTTGTAAAGTGAAGAAACTACCCACTTGCCTGCTTCTTGCGATGATGAAGCATTGTAAGTGGTCTACCCAAACCCACTAGTGGGTGTGCATTGTGCTACTTTCCTTCCTTCCTTCATAAATGTAATCATAGTATAAATAGTTCTTCCAGACATGTGATCTTGTTAGGTGCCCTGGCTTTTTGTTTGTTTGTTTGTTTTTCTTTTTCTTTAATGAAAGTTTCTGGTAATCTGAGGTGAGCTTTGAAGTTTTTAGAAAGAAGCTAGTGCTCAGGTAGTGAGACTTCCATCCCCCTCTCTTATTTCTTTTCATATTAACACATTCTTGAGAGGCAGCAGTAGACGCTTTCTCATTCATTCATTCATTCATGCATTCATGCATTCATTTACTGAGGGGGAAGGGAGAGGGAGAAACATCCATGTATGGTTGCCTCTTGCATGTCCCTTACTGGGGACCTGGCCTGCAACCCAGGCCTGTGTCCTAGACTGGGCGTCGAACTGTTGACCCTTTGGTTCGCAGGCCACTGCCCAAGCCACTGAGCCCCACCAGCCAGGGTGCAATGGGCGTTTTCTGTGGGCATCTATAGTGATTGGATTGGATGATTTTGTTTTTGTACGTTTCATAGCCTCCTGAAAAATGCGCATCATTGTCATATGTACAAAGTTCCAAAAGTTTTTAATCTAGGAAAATGACTATTTCAGTAAATATCTATATTGCTAAATAAACAATAAGCACATAGTGGTCAGAAAGAAAACACTGCTTTTATAATTGGGGAAGAAAAGGAGAACAAAAAAATGTCTTTTTCCAATAACATTTGTGTACAAGTGGGTTGTCCATGAACCAAGGCCCTAGGGGCATGTGGGAAAATGAGATCGTACACGACTGCGCGGTAGGAGAAGAGATGGTGGAGACATCTGCTGTTTTTTCAAAGTTTTTGTGCGCTGAATACAATTGAAATTTTAAAATGGAACGCCAACATCCCTGTTGCAGAAACTACTTGATCGATTCGATTATGATGATGAGCCAGAGGCTGTGGAAGAATCAAAGAAAGAAGACGCTGCTGCCACTGCTGCCAGCACAGCCTCTGCTGCCCCCGCCCCCGCCACCGCCGCAGCCCCGCCTGCCGCCGCCATCCCCGCGGCCTCGCCGCCACAGGCGCCCTTGTAAGTCTCCATCCCTCGGGGTCTGTGGAGTGGGCAGGCTCCATAGGGCGTGGCGTACGGAGCAGTGAGTAGCAGGGTCGTTTTTCATACACAGTCCTTGTCTTTTTGAATAGTGATATTACGGGTGTTCTCCCAAATGGGGAGAGGATCCTAAAAGATTTACAAGACATTTATTAAAAAAATAGCTTTTAGAGTGGGAATAATACTGAACGTATTAGTTAATATATAGGCAAATAGATGATTCAGTAAAATGTTGATTAATGACTCCTAGACAACATTTCTTTTTTTCCATTTTTAAGTCACTTTAATTTTTTAATCCCATTTGACACACATTATTACATTAGTTTCAAGCTAGACAGCATTCCCTATGCTCCTATGTTCACATGCGTAAGAGCCCATGTGTTGTGAATGTGTGAACGGCTGACTCATGTGTTTCAGCGGGTTTCCCGGTGATGGCATGCAGCAGCCGGCGTACACCCAGCATCCGAACATGGACCCATTTCAGCCTCCGATGGTGGCGCTGCAGCAGGACCCGGTGCACCGTCAGGTACGGACGGGCGTGTTCTGCAGCCGAGCGTCTTCACCTTCCAGGGTCTCTGCTGGCGTGTGTGGGTTGCACCCCGCAGACTGTTGTTCAGCTGTGGGGCACAGGGCTGGTCGGAAGCTCTCTTTGCTTTAAGGAAAAACAAGGGTGCCAGGCTCGGCGTACTTATGCTTTGATGATGGGTGTCCTTGTTCAAGCAGCTTAGAGAGCGGTTAGGGCTCTGTCCTGGGGGACTGGCCTGTCTGGCTGCAGAGCTCTTTCCCGTAGGAGAGGCCTCTCCGGGACCGGGGGGGCGGGTGCTGAGAGGCGGTCTGTGCTCCCCCGAGGAGGGGCGCGGCCCCCCGGGGAGCTGCAGGGGCTCGTGGGGTGTATTTTAGTAACTATTTAAGTTTAGTCCCTAAACTTAACTGTGCATCTGCGGGTAATGGGGGCAGGGAGGGCATTTTGGAAAATACAACCCTGGGCCCTTTGGTGCTACAGTCTAGAGGGTCTTTTTTTTCTCATTGTGCAGCGGTTCTGTTGCACGGCTAGTCTTGAGAAATAATACCTGGTAGCCTTAGTTTAGAGAGGGTTCTGAGAAATCTGTTTAGACTACAGTTATTTGTTTATTCATATCATTTTCAGTCCATTTTAGACATTTGGCAATATGAAACTTGTGATTCTGATGATGTGTTGATGGACGAAGTTTGAAAAGTATTTTATAAGCCTGTTTAAAATAGGAAGAAAACCAATGGACTTATTTCAAAATGTTTAACGATTACTAAAAGTTTATAAATAATTTAGAAAGAATACTTCTTTTATGACATTATAATTATACTTTTAATTATATAGACATTGGAATGGCACGTACAGAAACATGTTAGGTTGTGGTTTACTGTCGTTACTATATGATGTCCTAAAAGTAGGCATGTTATTTGAAACTCTCCTTAGAGTAAATTTTTTTTAAATGATTTTATTTATTGTTTTTAGAGAGAGGGGAAGGCGGGGAGAGAGAAAGGGAGAGAGACATCAACCAGTCGCTTCTTGCACCCGCCTAGCCAGGGACCTGGCCCGCAGCCCCGGCTTGTGCCGTGACCAGGAATCGCCCGAGCACCTGCCGGGCAGTGCCCGAGCCACTGAGCGCCGGCAGTTAGGGCTGCAGTGGATTTTCCAAGGGACGAACCTCAAAGTCACTGCTTCTAGCCCCTTTCTCCCAAGAGGCAGACCTATGACTTTAAGTTCGGTCTGTCATAAGGTTCTCTCACATAAATGAAGTTACATCTTTAAACATACAAAACCCAAACCTTGTATGTTTGTAATTTTAAAATGAGTCATAGGATTTTTAACCTATATGCTTGAATATGTAACAATTCTTTGGATAATTATCATCTATGGAATTGTTAATCACTGTTGTACGCCATTGTAGTTTTTCCTTGATCAAAATTTATTGAAGGTATTTTAGTTAAGTAGGGGCTTTTTAAAAAAAAAAAAATTTTTGGTAACTATTCCTTAAAACCTACTCATACTGTCTTTAAAAACAAAGGTTCCACTTCCTCCTAATGGACAGATGCCAGGATTCGGTCTTCTTCCCACACCTGCGTTTCCGCCTATGGCTCAGCCTGGGGTCCCTCCCGCTGTCCCCGGGCAGCAGCCGTTCCAGACCCCGTTCCAGGCCCCCAGTGAGCCACTGGCGCAGAAGGCACATCAGGTAGGGCTTCCTTCTCCGTTGTCTGTTAGGTTGCATGGACTTGGGTAGGTTCCTGCCTATTTGCTTGTTACCCGCGGTTTTGAATGGGAAGACAGACTCTTACTTGAGCACTTCCTTGGGAAAGACCCCCTCTGTGCCCCTAGTTTTTCATCCAGAAAATGGACGTACTCACACTGCCAGGTATTTCCATAAGGTTCTTAAGGATTGAGATCCACAAAGTACAGAGTGCTTAACCAGCGCGTCGTCGTGGCTTATTAAAACAATATGCAACCCATACAAAGCACTCTCTGAGGGTAAGGTATTTATTCTAATCTTGTAAACCATGGAAAAAAATTTTTCCCACTGAAGGCCAGTGATTATTAAACTAGTAATTTGGACTCAAGTAACCAAAAGAGAACTGCTTCAGGACAAGAGATTTGTGATTTAACAGATTCTGTCCTCTTGCCTTCTTTATAATGTTCACTTTTCCTACATAGTGATGGCTGGTTCTTTGTTTATTTTTAAAGGAAATGAAAATAGAGCAGCCTTGTACTCAAGAGGTTAATAAGCGGCACATGTCGGACAACAGAAAGTCAAGATCTAGGTCAGCATCCAGGTAATTTATAGAAAATGTTTTTCCGATCCCGTATGTCTCAGGAGACATACAGAGTACAATCAAGTTGGATTGGTTTCAAGTTGGATGAATAAAGTAACACTTGGGGGGGGGGGTGTCTGTGTGTGTGTGTGTGTGTGTGTGTCTCTCTCTCTCTCTGTTTTTGCGGGGGGGGGGGGGGGGGGGAGGACAGAAGCACATTTAAAACGTTCCAGGCTCAGTCATCTTACCCATATTCGCTCCCTTTGAGCTGCTTTAATGCCTATGTACAGAGTACTTGGAATTGCCAGAATTATGTATTAATAATTCTTACAATAATCAGCACCACGATCCCTTCACAAGTGTACCAGCTGACAAGGTAGAAATAATCAGATTATGTTTTAATTGCTGCGGGAATGGAAACTGACTGGGAAGCGGGACAGCGGCAGCTCAGGATGGCAGCTGGCATCTCAGCCTGCAGCGCAGAGTGGGCGCAGCGCCGGGGTGTCGGGGCGCAAGGCCCTTTCCTGCGTGGGCAGCTGTTTTGATCACATTTAAAATATGATCTTTCCTTGCTACCGAATTCTCACACCGTCAAACAAATTACCTGCTTATTTTTCCTTTTTTTTCAAATTAATACATGCTTAACATTTAAAGAAATTTTTTTTTCTTCATGTGCTATCCATTTTCCGTCCTCATGAAAATATTAGGTCACCAAAAAGGAGGCGGTCTCGGTCTGGTTCTCGATCTCGGAGGTCTCGTCATCGACGTTCCAGATCCCGGTCCAGAGACAGGCGCCGGCACTCTCCGCGGTCTCGGTCCCAAGAAAGACGGGACCGGGAAAAGGAAAGAGAACGCCGACAGAAAGGCCTTCCCCCGATCAAATCAGAAACTGCAAGTGGTAAGTTCACTTGGTCTTCCGACTTCCTGCATTTTTTTTTCTTTTCTTGCTTTTTAGAGAGGGGTGGGGAGGGAGATACAGAGGGAGAGAAACATTCGTTGCCTCTCATTTGCCCCCTTCTGGGGACCTGGTCTGCAGCCCTGGCCTGTGCCCTGACTGGGAATAGAACCAACAACCTTCTAGTTCGCAGGGAGGCGCTCACTCCATTGAGCCACACCAGCCAGGGCTGCGTTATTTTTTTCACATCATGGGTTAAAAACGTTTTCTAACTATTAGCAAAATACTGCTTTGTCATGTCTCATTTGTTTAATGTGTGTCCCCGCAGAGGTGTCCAACCCACAGCCGCGCGGGCCACGTGCGGCCCAGGATGGCTGCGACAGCGGCCCAGCGTGCAGTCGTGAATTTGCTTAGGGACTTCTTTTTGCTCATCGGTTTTCATTAGTGTTTGTGATTTAACGTGTGTAGCCCAAGGCAGCTCTTCTTCCAGTGTCGCCCAGAGACACCAAAAGGTTGGACACCCCTGCTGGGAGTGAATGTGGGAGATACAAAGAGTAGCTGGTTCCCATGCACCGCAGAAAGGGCTCTTCTCCCCCTGTTCCCCCGGGCCCCTGAATAGCTGGTGCCCTCTACTTTTATAAAGGTTTATAATTTACAGATTGTGAAATACGTGTAATAGGGTGTGCTGTATGCCCTTAGCTATTACTGAAATTTTAATTAGTATGATTAGGGCGTATGTAAAACTTCTGACTCTGTAAGGCTTATGACCTAGGGCACAACCTAAGAGACACAGCATATGCACTCAGCAGGTGGACAGGGACGGCCGCAAAGAGTGACCAAAAAGCACCGAATTGGTTGGTGCTGAAGAGTTAGGTCCGAGGCGTCAATCTGTCCACAGAGTCCAGTTTTCCCAGCTCCGATGCACGTTTACTGTCCTGGTTTCAGCTCTGGAAGGGCCGCAGCAGTGTTTCAGGGGTCTCGAGTGTACGTGGGGTTTGCTGTGCAAACCTGAAGTGTCTTGGTGGAACTCACTCATTCTTCTGTCATGATTTCTTCACGTAAGAGCCAGTGCTGTTCATTATCAGACATGTGTACTTATGTGACAATTTTAATTTCAGTTTGTAGCACCACACTCTGGGTGGGACAGCTGGACAAAAGGACCACTCAACAGGACGTTGCCAGTCTCTTAGAAGAGTTTGGTCCAATTGAATCAATTAACGTGAGTGTTTATTAAATTATTCAGTGACAGTAGATAAATGCAAAAATCTTTATGTAATAAAGTTTAGGGGACTGTAGGTTCATTAATAATTGGCAGTTGAGACCAAACTTAAATTGCCCATTTACAAGTGATTTAATCCCAGGGAATTTGAACACTGGGTTGATTAAAGAGGTGGGTTGTTGGAACTGGTAACTTAGTATTATATCTTGTTGCTCTTTAATTTTGTTACCATATTTTATAATATTGGAATGTTTTGGAGCAGATGATTCCTCCCAGAGGTTGTGCCTATATTGTTATGGTTCATAGGCAAGATGCTTACCGCGCCCTGCAGAAACTGAGCCGTGGGAACTACAAAGTGAACCAGAAATCCATAAAGGTACGGTTGTAGCGCTTATGTTTTTAAAGCTGTAATTTTGGACATAGGCATTTCATATGCATTTTTTTTTTTAAAGAGGTTATCTGCTAAAAGTTAACAATTTTTAATGTTAGGTTCATGGTAGAATTTTTATTTTTTAATGTAGATAGAAGAGTTCATTAAGGTATTTAATTAATTGGTGCTTTATATATAATGTCATGTGAAACACTTTGTCATTTCAAAAAGTTTGGATTTAAAATGTGTCATCTCATATTAGAATTAACTATGAAAAATATTCCACAAAGATAGAGGAAAGGATACAGACCCGTGGGCGTTCTCCCCTGTGGGGCTGCGGTCAGTGCGCCCTTGCTGTCCTGACGCTCTGCTCTGCCCTTGGGCAGCGCAGCGTGCTGCCTGGTGCGGGCGTGCGGGCCCTGGGGAGCCTTTTTCTTTCCTCCAAGTTTTGTGCTGCCTTGGCAGGGGCGGGGGGGCGGCGGGTAAGGGGGTGACACCAGTCAAATATCCACTGCAGGACAGGCTGAGAGGAATGGGCAGCCGGTGTCCTGGTGCCAAGTGAGGCCCAGGAAGAGCGAGGCCAGACTGCTCCCTCGCTGCCTCAGTTTGGGGAGACAGTGTGAGACCGGCGGGGGACAGTGTACTCTCAAAGTGTGTGACTTCTCGGCCTCCCTTTCCTTTTCTGTTTTCATGCATGATGAAATAGATCGCCTGGGCCTTAAACAAAGGAATAAAGGCAGATTATAAGCAGTATTGGGATGTAGAGCTTGGCGTCACTTACGTTCCGTGGGACAGAGTCAAGCCTGAAGAACTGGAGAGCTTTTGTGAAGGAGGCATGTTGGACAGCGACACACTTAACCCAGGTGAGGAGAGCTTCCTGTCGTTCCGAGTCTGGGCCATTCTGGGGGGAGCCCACGCAGACGTGTGCTTGCTGATGTTAGGGAGTTCCTTTTGTGGTCTTCCCTTTCCTGCAACTGTATTAAAAGTGGAGAGATGCAGATCCAGACGAAATCATTGCTGATCGTGGGGGAAACAGATCGAATGAGTCAACCTGATCGTCACTGAGACTACCTTTTAGTCCAGTGCTTCATAGTAATTCCTTTGAAAACGTTTCAATGTTCAGAGAAGAGTGGAAAGGAAATGTGTAGGTCGAGGAGACCGGTTACTTGGGTCAGGAGCATTGGCAATGCCAGGGTGGCAGGGCGGGGTTGCCATGGGGGCGCACGGCACAGGCGGGTGCGGCCTGGGGACCCGCAGGGAGCCTGGTACAGGAGCAGCAGGCGGAGGCGCAGCCACGGGAGCAGGTGTGGCAACCGAGAAGGTCGAGGGGGTGCCCCAGAGGAGCTGCGCGGGCAGCCGGGGCCAGCGCGCTGGGCTGGCCTGGCTGCTCCACAGCCGCCTGCACGGGGCACGGCGCCCTCTCTCACACCAAGAGCTCTGTCTGTGGTCTGTGTGGGCAGACGGGGGCCAGAGCCTGCGCTGCGCCAGGCCTGCGGGGTTCGGGTCCAGGGAAGCATTGCGCACCCGCCCCCCCAACCCCGGGTCCTGCCCCCGCAACCCCGGGTCCTGCCCCGGTGATGAGAGCACAGGCCAGAGCCAGGCGTGTCTGTGGGGTGCATCTCCGCCACGGACCTTACTAGGCATGTGACCTCAGACACGTTGTCCTTGTTTTTCTCATTTATAACCCAGGAGTGATAGTAATAGAAACTACTTATAGTTACAAGAATTAATTTAATTAGTATATATAAGATGCTTAGAACTGCCTGGCACACAGTAAGCACTTTTTTTTTCTTTTTTGAATGCCTGCTAATTTAAATATTTATAAGATTAACGTAACATTTCCTTCATAACCAGACTGCTGGTTTCATATAATCTACATTTTAAAAATCATTTCTGGATTTAAAATTATAAGATGAACATGATAAGCTTGTATTGTTAAATTTGTTCAACTCTCATAGAGTGGAAGGGAATTCCCAAGAAGCATGAAAATGAAGTCGCTCAGAACGGAGGAGCAGAAAGCGCGCACACAGAACCAGTGTCGCCCACGCCCAACCCTTTGCCTGTGCCCGTCCCTCCTATGCCTGTGCCCGCACCCATAACAGTGCCTCCTCCGCAGGTAAGACCGCCTGGGGCATTATTTAAATTTCCGGGTGTCTGGGAGATACCTTGCTGAGTCTTCTTGTAGATGTCTGTCTGGATTCGTAGTCAAAGACATGAGTACCTGAGCATGCGTTACTGATTTGTTACTAGTTTGTTTGGCGTGTCTGACCTGTTGTTTATAAGCTCTTTGAACGATGTAAGTAAAACCAGAGTGCGCGCCCGTGCCTTAGGCCTGCCAGACCCCCTGAGCGCCTGCCGCGTGCTGCGGGGGCTGCGGGCGCACTGGTCAGAGCTCCTGCCGCTCTCCCTGCCCTGTTTTCTCTCCGCATCTCGATTCTTCGCGGACTCCTGTTCTGAGGGAGCTTGGATTTCTCTGCAGGCAGCTGTTCTAAGGGGAAGATAGTTTCTAAATCTTCAGTTTGGGTGGTGCCATTATGAATTCTTTTTTTCTTTTTTTTTTTTCTTCTTCTTTTTTTTTTTTTAAATAAATTGAGTGCCATTTAACGTTGAAGGTATATTCTTAGAGAGTCATTGCTATCCTGTTACTTCAGAAGACAGGCTCTGGCTTCTGGCAGAACAGGTCTGAATCCCGGCCCCGTTGTTCACGCAACTGTGAGACCGTGGGTGGGTCACCTGGCCTCCGGGCTTGGGGCTCCTCTGTGTAAATACGCAAACCCCGTTCCTGACTGGGCACTGGTGGTCTTCCTAGGTCCGAGCTGTTTTGAGGATTAAATGAGCTAATGTGTGTTAAATTCTCAGCAGATTTCCTGTTACATAATAAGCTGAATAATTTTTAAAAACCTTTTGGTTATAACTATAAATAGTTGAGCCATAGTTTATGTATGTTCTACATTTTTCTTGCCTCTCAGTACCTTTCTCAGTTCTTCACGTTGAACCTGACCAGATAAATCTGCACTAACACAAAAGTGCACATTTGCCCAGCCTCTTGCATGGCTCTGAGGTTTCCCAAATCTTCGCTCTATAGTCAGCCTTTGGCTATTCCCTTCAGTGTGGGTTTTAAGGAAGATTCAAGTACATCAGCATTCGTTTAAAGAAACCTGACTAATGTGTTAAAATTAACCATACTTTTTTTTTTAACAATAGCTAATATTTATTTGTTGAGTGTTTTTTAAGTGCCAGCCACTAGCATTTAACATGTATTAACTCTTTAATCTCCGTAGTTATGTGAGGTTAGCACTTTCCATTTTACAGATCAATAGACGGAGGTCTAGAGTGCACGCCGGCCAAAGGCCACAGAGCTAGTCAGGGAGTAGCTGGCGGTTTAACCCTGGGACCTGAGATCTTCGTCCCTGCGAGCTTTGTCGGGTAGCTTTTCTTAGCGTCCTGCTTCTCAGTCCTGCCTGATCTTGGGGCATTTTTTAGCATGTCATGTTCTATCAGATCACCAGCAGGCGCTGGTGAAATGCAGTGTCAATTTGTTGTCATAAAGGAGAGGGCAAAACGGTCATTTGGGGTAGGTACAGGTTACCAACTGTTTCCAAATCTATTCACATAATAACATCTAGAAATTTTTAGAGTTTTTTCCGGTAAGACTCGTTCCTGGCCCCTCCTGGTCCCTCCTGGCCAGGCGTGCGGGCTTGCGTGCAGCTCTGTGTCCCTTTCTCTCCAGGTCCCGCCACAGCAGCCCGGCCCCCCTGTGGTGGGCGCCCTGCAGCCGCCCGCCTTCACGCCGCCCCTGGGGATCCCCCCTCCGGGCTTCGGCCCCGGCGTCCCGCCGCCGCCGCCGCCGCCTCCGTTCCTGCGCCCGGGGTTCAACCCGATGCACTTGCCGCCAGGTACGCTGAGCTGCCGGAGATGGCGCTGTTTCTGAGCCTGAGGTCAAACGGTGCAGCATAAGCGACATTATTTTTCCTGCCGTAGGTTTTCTTCCTCCCGGACCCCCACCTCCTATAACTCCGCCGGTGTCCATCCCTCCTCCTCACACTCCGCCAATGAGCATCCCAAACTGTAAGCACGGCTTCCTTCGCGTCCAGCGCTCCCCCCACCCCCCGCCCGGAGTCGGGAGTCGGGAGAGCGCGCGGGCCCCCGGGGCCGGGAGTGTGGGAGAGCGGGCGGGCCCCAGGGCTGGGAGAGCAGCCTCTATGCAGCTTCACGTGTCACTGTGATTATGTCCCTTAGCTGCGATCGCTGGTATAAATGAAGACACTACAAAAGACTTATCTATTGGAAATCCCATTCCAACAGTGGTGTCTGGGGCAAGAGGAAATGCCGAGTCTGGGGACAGTGTGAAAATGTACGGCTCTGCTGTGCCGCCCGCCGCACCCACGAGCCTGCCCGCCCCTCCTGTAACCCAGCCTGTTTCGCTTCTGGGTAAGTGGATTCTTTTACCATTCGTTTCTTTTCCTCTGCCCAAGCTAAGTTTTGCTGGGTTTTTTTAACTGGTAATTTTGGGTCTTGATGTTTTCTCTCTGAGTCTTAATGTTTTCCTTTGAGGAAGATCTTCCTCTTAAATATGTGTTCTTGGTCTTGACCGAGAGTAGCCCTAGAGACAATCTCCATGAGGAACTATGTTTGCCTGGAATAAAGGTTGGGATTTGCATATCTCAATTTGCGTATCTTAATTTGGTATAGAAAAGTGATCTCTGTAAAGAGGGATTGGCACAGAGTCCAAGATTGACATAACTCAGGATGTCCTCGCTTTTTAAGAGAGAACATTTCTTTGAAAACATAGTTCCCTCCCTGCCCCACCCCCCGCCCCATCTGGGCCAGTTTTTATATATCTGGCCTTTGGTAGCATTCTCTGTGGGCTGGCAAAGAAAATGATCTTGGATACGTTGCAGTAAAGGGGCTTTGTTGCCTGAGTGACAGACCTCCAGTGTCCTGCTGCTGGAGGCTGGCTGTTGTCCTCCACCTGCAGTGTGACCGCACCGAGGAGGGACGTGCAGTTTAGCGGGCGCACCACTTAAAGCCCGAGTCCCCCTTCTTGCCTGAGTTATAAATGAATACATCATATCGTTGTTACACTCACTGTCTGTTCATTAATCAGTTGGTATCGCCCAGTCCAGTGAACACTTGAGTGTCCTCAAGGCCGTTGGCTCGCCCCTAGAGTTATGGCGCTGCGGCCCCATGAGTCCGCGGGTTTTCGGCGGGGCACGTGCGGGCACATCGCCTCAGGTGTTTCAGGAAGGAGCACATGGTCACCGGAGGTGCAGGGCTAGGGGGCGTTGGTGTGTGGTGCAGGCCTTGGACCTACCACCACTGCCTTTCAGGACAGTCGGAAGTTTTTACTTCTTACCCGTATTACGTTTATAATAAAAATTGATTTGTTTTTAAATGGCATGCTGTCTTCTGGCCTCTGCAAGACTGAGTTTAGGCTGATAATAAACTCAGCCTTTACTTCCCTTTGGCTGAGTACCGACTATTACACCGACTGAGTAATAGGAAAAGAAGGTTTGGGATTGAGATTTGTCACACATGGTGTAGCAGCAGCCATCGCAGTGACGCCAAGTGGCTGGTTTAACAAGGACGTTGCTTGAGAGGCCTGCGCCCCAGGAATCTTAGAGCAGAAGGACTGTTGGGCCGGCAGCCGGGGGCCCTGACACCTTTGGTTTCTCGGTGTTGGTATGTTTCATTTTGTCTTGTTTTCATATTTGTAATAAGGTGGTTTCACAAGACTCACAGAGTCTGAGTTGGAGAGACTTTCCTGATTAACCCCTTTCTTTCCCTCCACACCCCCGATTGTGAATGCTGTTTGAAATGGAACTTTCTCCTCTAGCATCCGTGGATGTTAGGCCCCCTGAGACCGTTTACAAAGTTGTGTGCATATGTGCATTTTTTCTGGATTCAATAAATTCACTGAATAAGTGAGAAGATTTCATTATCTGCAAGAGTATAATGTCCACCACTTTCAAACAACCTTAAAGAATAAATCGCCTGCCTTGTTTTAACATTCAGGGCTTGAAGATTCTGCCCTTTGGTTATCACTACTGAAATGTGCAATTTAAACTCTGTATACAATGTGTGAAACAAAGTAAGACACAGACCGAAAGTTGGTGAGCTGGAAAAATAAAGCTAGTAAGCTGAGCGCTGGTAGAAAAATGAATTCCTTAGCATTCACTGTTACTTGGCCTGCCTGTTCGCTGTCCGCCCGGCCCGCATCCCGCCTCGCTCCCTAGGGCCCCCGCCCCAGAAGGGAGCTCTGAGACGGGGGACGTTGGTCCCATGAGCGGGCAGCTGGCGGGCTGGCGGGCTCTTGGGGCCAGGCTGTTCACACCCCGCCTGTGACGGTCTTTATGACTTAAAACGCAGTGTAGAAATTGAAGGCTGTTCAAAATCTGGGAAGCTTAAAATTTGACATAATGTAACAACGAAAATAAGCAGTTTTAACTGAAATGCAGTTTCGGTCAGAGAAGGAAAGCCTTCCGTGTTCCTTCCCGTTAGAAACCTTGAAAAGAACGTCCCTTGAATTTTCACCTCGTAAAGAAATGGGACTTCCCTGTTTGTGCAAAGAAGGGAGAAAGTATCCAAGAGTTGACTGCGGTCCCATCGTGCTGATGGAGGGACGGGTCAGCAGCGCCCGCTGACAGGCCAGTGATCAGGCGGGGACATTGCTGCTCTTGACCGGGTCGTGGGGCCCTGACCTCGGGCGTGCTCACGCTTCCTTCCTTGATGGTGACAAGAAGCAGTGTGCCGTGCCGGGGCACTTTCCGCCTGGAGGTGCCGTGCGGTGCCGCGCTCCGTTTCTCCACCGAAAAGGGGGTGAACCCGCCCCGCATGCAGGCCCTTGGGACCAGGGCGGGGGCCGTGGGCGCCCTCAGGCCGCCCCGGGGAGAGTGCTGAGCTGGTGTGATCGGTTAAACTGTTAGTGTTTTGGCAGACAAAGGGAGCAGACTTTTTAGGGGGAAAAACTTTATCCTGACATAGTTGACTCAGGTGTCTCCATGGTAGCTCAGACCAGATCCCAAGTTCACACGCATTAAAGTTCCATCAGCTGGCTCACTGAGGAAGTGTGTGTGTTGGTCATGATGGTATTTCATTTAAATAGCAGGACACGGCATCTGTATTCTTCCCATTAATCACGCTCAAATAGTCCCCCAGTGGAAGGAGGATGTACCATTGAGAGACTTAACCAACTTGGATCTTGATTTCTGAAATGGGGTGATAATATTTGCAAGTAGCAGGGGCCAAACAGACGCTCCTGAGATCCCCCCCAAAAGCCTGCAGTGAGCCTGGCCACGTCGGCAGGGGCGGCGGGCGCTCTGAGGGCGGCTTGGCTTCACGGGTTCGCCGATCGCGGACTGGAGTGCGGGTGTCAGTGTGGGGAGGTGACGGCGTGTTTCTGGAGTTGGGCTCAGGCAGCCACACCCGCACAGCGGTGGCGGGCTGACCCTCCGTCTGCTAGGGGCTCTTGAGTGTTTTAGACACCGCGCATCTGAAAACACAGATGTGCTTGATGCACAGTAACGCATCATCACTGCTGTTAGGCTGTCGTTGGGCCTCGCGATCCCCGGCCGCAGGCGGGCCGGCAGCGGTTCGATGGGAGCTGGCGGTGAGTGTCCTGGGGGCGGGGGGTTAACTGTGAGAGTGACTTAGTGCCTTCTCCCTGCTGTGTAAGCGCGTGTGTTTCCTTCTGTGTAACATGTATCTATAATATTTTGTACAGCATATTTTTATTAAGAAGTTTATTGTAAATGTGAAATTTGGGTTACTTTCATGTTCCAAACAATAAAAAAGATACGTAAAAAAAAAGTTTGTTTGTGTTACATGTTTCTGCTGTGTTACCAGTATACCCAAAATGTTTTTCCAAGGAAAAATCACCGTAGGTTGGACTCATTCCTTTTGTGGAAAATGAAGTCTCTTTTCTTGCCGAATACATTTAATTATTAACGTGCAGAGAATCTTCCCCATTTTGTAACACTGCTGTAGATGATGGTGAAATTTGTAAGTAAAAATTGGGTATTTGTAAGATTGCTTCCTGCTTACGGATAATTTCTATTACCAAAAATTTAAAGCCCAAGTGAGAGCACAGTGGCCTACAGCCGGAACCGCGGGGGTGCCGCAGTAGGCGTGGGTGTGGGTAGTGCCAGGTTGGGACACTGGGAAACAATATGGACGGAATTGGCTTGTGAAGTGTTGCACCCAAACAGCTGTGTTTGCTTTTTATGCAATATTTTATAGGCCTTAAAACTGCCTCGAAGATAAATAATTTGATCATCGGTGTCTGTAATTTCTTTAAAATTGGTATTTTATTTGTGGTGATTTCAGTCAAATTTCTGTCCCCAAAATTATTTTTTTAATAGTAATTTTTAACATCATTTAAATTGGAACATTAGAGCACCAGTGTACTTACTAGTATGATGACATTCAGAGGAAACCCAAAGAATATTCTAGAACGTAGTTTTTTAATGATAATGTCTAATTTTTAAAATATAATTTTTGCATCTTAATATTTTTCTGTAAGCTTTGCCATGATGTTCATTTATATTGACTGTAAGCTAGGGGCTCCACCAGGTGTTCAATTTGGTACCCCCCAAAAAGCTCATTGACTGTTTATCCTATGAAAGTGTTTTCCTTCGGAAAGCTTTAAAATACACATTGTTACTCCATTAGTGTTATGTAGTATAAATGGGTCCCCATTACTCACCACAGTGCCTTCAGCTTTATGTATAGCATTGCTCAGTAGTTAATAGCAGTTAACCCACAGCTGATGTTTGCCTGGGGGTAAATTTAAGCACAGATATGCTGTATTTTCTCAGAAGGGGAAGCACTTCAAACAGAACACAGGAAAGATCTTGCAAAAAGGCTTGAAAGATGCTAGTCACATTTTGCCCGTGTTCCCTGCGCTTCCTGGGCTGCAGAGCCGCTGCCCAGTCTCACCCTCGTGTCTTCGGGCGGCGGGTGGGGGCAGGTGCGAGGCCCGGGCAGGTTCTGTTAGACACTGCACTGAAGAATCCAGGTAAGGTGTTTCTGATGACATTGAAAATGCTGTTAGCTGTGGGTAATCTCATTCAGTGATGGCTTAACTGTGTATCTCAGACTCTTGATTCTAATACTGCAGCTCTTAAACCTAAGTCATAGCTGTTATACTTTGCCAATTATAGGAGGATAGCAATTAGTATACAAACTGGAATTCTAAAAAGCGACTGCAAGTAAACCATAGATAGTGATCAGACAAAGCCTATTGTACTTTTTTTTTTAAGGAAAAACCAGGAGTCATTTTAAAGTGATAATAATTGACCTCTGATTTCACTTTATTTGAAATTCTGGTTCTCATATAATAGATTTTTATCAAAAGTATACCTTAGGCTGAAAATGGATGCCAGTATACCTGCATTATATATTATTGAAAACTCAAATTCCTCTCTAAAAAT